CTACTCTGTGACCTAAATTTAATGATGATCCTTTGGGATCATACACACATGGGTGTAAGAGGGTCTCAATAAGATCTATATATATATATATATATATATATATATATTAACACGCAGAATTAGGGTGTACCTCACAAATCCATCATGAAAGTTGTTTTGATGTTGAAAACATCTAATTGATCATATTGAGATTGATATATATGAATATGAGAAGAAAAAAAGATTTTGAGTTCTAATTCATCTCGTAACACATTACCTGTCGTCCATTATCTCAAGTAATTTCATGTAATAGCCTCTAGTGATATAACAAAACAATATTAAAAAACCATCTTAGAAGGTACAATTTGTAAACACTTATAACACTCTATTTTAGGGAGATGCTTAGATCTAGGCCTCGGAAGGACTTATTTCCTATTTTATTATAATAATATTAGTGATGATATTATATATATATATATATAGGAAGAGACTACAAAGTACCTATGAGATTGTATAAGAGGACCATTTACTTTTGGAATAAGGGTCACAATTACTTACAATTATTTGATATGAAATTTGATAGATTTGATGTCACAAAGTTCGGGAAAAAATCTTTTGAACTTTGAGATTTGTCAATGAAGTAAATGTATTTACCTAATTTCACATCCAATGATCAAGATTTATTGTGACCACCTTGAAGCAAAGGTAAATGGTCTCATTATATGTTTTTCTTATATAGTTTATAATATAGATCTAGACAAGAATTATTACTTAATTATCAAAATAAACATGTCATAATCCTTAGATCTTATCCACTAGGAAAAATAGAAGTGGTGTTCTTGCTTTTGATGTCAGGTCCTCAGAGGTGGAGCAATCACCATTGATATATCATCATCATTTTGTCGCATGTCCAGGTTAGGGGATTGTTACTTTTCATAATCAATTGCTAAGTATTAATTAATTACCTAAAAAGAACACTGAAAAGTTGCAAAAAGATAAATTTGAGTTGCATGGGTGGGTTTGCCAAACCAAACTAAAATCAAGGGGACAAAAGTTTGGGATTCCGGTACAACGGTCCACCCAAGTTTGGCCCACCCAAAATCAATGTAGTATTTGATTGTAATAAGCGTTATTAGGGGTATCATGGCCATTAAATGACTCACTTAATTTCAGCTTTAGCTCACAAAAAAGTTATTTTAGAACTATGTTTCCAAAGGTTTTAGAAGAGTATGAAGTTTTTATAAAGGCTAGGCTTTATGAAAACAAAATAAAGCATCACCTCAAATCCTCATCCGGAACATACTTTTGGCAACATAAATCTTTACTATGGCTCTAAAATCAATTTCCGACATCGATAATAAAAATTTTGAAATTAAAAAAATGTACAGATCGTGCAGATCTAGGAACACTTATTTTTAAGGCCAAATGAATGGTCTAGATACTGTGTTACAATACACAATATTTTTAGGCTTGAAATCATAATTTAATTTTCATGACCATATTGGTCAAGGCCGAGATGATTCGAAGATTTTTTGACACCAAAACTGTTATGTAAGATGAGTTTTGATGTGAGGCTTTACTTATTTTGATAGGGTTGCAGCTCTATCGAAACACTAGCGAACATATTTGTAGGACACTAAGGGAAATGACATGAAAAAGATAGTGGACAAATCATATAACAAAAAGTACAAGATAGAGGACATATCGTATAGAGGATATTTATAAGGCCTTATGGTCTCATTGAGGGTATGACCCTTAATACATCATAATGACAGATCAAGATTCATGTAGTCGATTCCAATTAATTAAAAAAAAAACTTTGATGATGATGATAATAAATTCGCAATTTACCTTACCCTACGCATAGAGCGATATGTAAATATTATACTAGACCAGGACCATCTCCCTAAATATTGTAAATGTTTACAAAAAAATAATAAGGTAGCGGAAAAATGAAGTCTTTTGATGAGTTATCATAATCATATTCTATTGATTCAGGATTTGGATCTTGGCAGAAATTTTTATTATTTATAAAAATATGTCACAAGATCAAGAGGGTCGGTCCACTTACATTGAAGAGATCTTACTTGTTTTGTTCTCTTCAAAAGGGTTCCTAGCTGTACATAAAGGTACTTTGTTTAAGGAACAGATCTGCTTTTTGATGGTTACTACCGGCCAATATTAAATTATTGAGAAAATGAAATTAAAAAAAGGATGAAGTTTTTATAAGGCTTAGGCTTTATGAAAACAAAATAAAGCCTCGCTTTAAATCCTCATCCGGAAAGCACTTTCGGCATTTAAAATCTCCATGATGCTCTGAAATTAATTTCCAACATCGACGATAAAATTTAAATATCAAAAAATGGAATAGATATTGTGAATACTTATTTTTTAGGACGAAATAGAAGGTCTAGATAATTTTTTGCAATATACACTATTTTTAGAGCATGAAATCCTAATGTTTTTTACAATCATAATATTGAAGCCGTGGTAATCGATTTAAAGGTTTTCCAACGCTTGAATTCCAATTTACAATGAGTTATAAGGTGAGACTTTACTTATTTTAATAGGACTGCACCTTGTCAAACCATTTTCCATAAAAAAAATTTATGGTATTTTCATGAAGGCTTTCTTTTTTTTCGCCACTTTGATTGTTTTAATCAAGGCTTTCTCATTCACATTGTTTTCTCTCAAGGTTGGTCCCTCCCTGACCTTTAGGCCCACTTTATATATATAATATAATAAATAAATATACGGTTATAGAATTGACCAATGATAAGAGGTTGGACTTCAAAGGGAATCAAAATATTTCTATGGCTCAGGTTTTGCCTTGATAGTTAGTGCGCTTGAGGGTCCACAAAGCGGCCCTTACTATTACAACATCTATTTCGGCTCTTCTGCATGTCCTATTTATATTATTCCAAACCCAGATCTTCACCCACCTTTTCTTGTCTTCTCTTCGTATTTTTGCAGGAAATAAGCAGAGCCATGTGTCACTTTCTGACCAGCTGTGCAGCACTGGTTTTGTTTTTTTTAGTATCTATGCCTCCATCTCCATGTATTGGGGTCTTCCCAATCTAAGTAGGGCTGTTATGCTAGTAAAATTCAGCATTGGCTGGCTGCCTTAGCTGTTTTTTTATTTGGCTTTTTTTTATGAAAACGTGGGTGTTTCCTGATATGGAGAAGTTTTTGCTGTTTGCAATTATATATTTTGTGTGTGACTTTGGAGGTGTGAATGTCGACCATTCAAGGTCTATTAAACTACTCTTTTTCTAAACACTCCCATCTGTGTATTTTGGCTTTGCTTTGGCAATTGGGTTTTTGTTTGGTCTTTGTTTACATGCAAAGCTTTTGGCTACTTGTGGCGGTAGGTCATGGAAAAAAGGAAATGGATTCCATTGCATAAACAATTTTATGAGTTTTTTTTTTTTGGTGGGGACTTTTTTTTATAAAAAAATACAGGTTATTTACCTTTTGTACGAGGTGTTCACAGTTAATCTTTGACCATTGGATGTGAAATTGGAGGGTTCCATTTATTCTATTGAAACTTCAATTTTTTTTTTTTTTTTTCAAACTTTTGTGATACACCCAATAAATCATATTTCACATCAGATCAGATGGTTAAAAAATATTGTGACCTCTTTTTATTAACGGTAAATGGTCCCTTCTATACAATCTCATTTTTTTCAAGTTGAAAATTAAGCTAGAACAAGCGTTGTGGCAACTCAAGTCTCTTTTAAATGAAAGTTGGCAATGGACTTCAGCATATGAAGCTTTTAGACTTGTTAAGAATTGTGTCTTTATCCTCTTCTAATCAGTTGTTCAGAGTTTGATTTTCATCTTCAAACCATGCACTTCCTAACCTTCTTCCCCTAAAACTTTGTTTCACTCCCAGATGATTAGAAGGCTGCTCCAATTGCCTAAAAAGGATCAGGAGTCTGCTGCTTTTTTTAGCTTTCTCCTACATTATTGATAATTGCCCGGTTTTTATCTTGTTCTTCTTTGTCATGTAATCTCGGTCTTTCAATAATCAGATTTAGTTTAAAACCAGTTTTATCGAGACCAATGGTTCCATTTATTATGTGAGGACCTTGGTTGTGGCATGGTGTTCTTTTTGGGTAGGTGCCTTAGGCACTAAGTTACTTGGGCTTTCCATTCTGTGTGTGACATACTGATTTTGAGAGACCGTTCCACAGGCCTTACATTTTTATTCATTTTCTTATCTAACGTTAGATACTAGTTTGTGAAAGCCCAACATGCATTAGAGGATCATAATTAGTCTGCATCTTGAAGTTGAAAGATTGTGCCGTATGTCAACTTGCGCATGCACATCCTGCCCTACCCATTCCCTTCAGCAAGAAGGCCCTTATCCTGAGCTTTCCCCCCCCTCCTGAATTATCAGCAATCTACAGTTTAAATTCAACTTCTCCTGGCCAGGTGTTTTTGAATTTCACGAATTTCATCCGTCTCTGTTTTCTGAGGACCTTAGCCAAAGTCTTCGAATCATAGCAATCCACAATTTCTTAAATGTTGTCTTGAAACATCCACAAGCTTCTACGGCAATTATTCGGTCATCACTCAATATATGTAAATTCACAATCAAGTTGTTCTTGCCTGATGTCTTGAAATCCATAAATTTTGTGCCTCTGATCATTTGGCCAGTGGCTCCTATTCTTTAGAAGCACTGTAGATCTTGTTTGGGAAGCCTATTATTCCTTTTCAAAGGTTCAACATACACCTTTGTCTGTTTTCATGTGGCACTTGACTGTCTGTGCTTGATCTTCATCTTGACCAAACACCATGAGAGCAAGGAGAGGAAAGAGTTCTGAGGTACAGTCAGCATATGCTAGTGTTTTCAGATGGCATGTCTTCATTGTACATATTATTAAGAAATTAAAAGTTACTGTCTTCTTGTATTTGCAGCGTTTTTGGCCATCCATTGTCATGAAAAAGTGGTTGAACATTAAGCCCAAGGTTCATGAATTCAGCGAGGATGAAATTGATACCGAGAGTGAGGATGACGGTGAGTAAAATGCCATATAATGGTTAAAAGAGATAGTAATTGAACTTTATTTCTGTTCATTTCTACCATTTTATAATTCTAATTGCACGCACATTGTGTAAAGATGCAAAAAGTGTCGAAAACGAACCCCCTAGAAGAGAACAGAGGAATGAATCTGTAAGCCGTAATCAAGCCTCAAACATCCCTGGTAAGTCCATGCACCATATGCTTCGGTTATCATCTCTAGAACAATTGGCTATGTAATCGATATCTTCCTATTTTCCAAAATTCAAGTTGAGTTCTTCAGTATTCCTGTTTGCAGCTAGAGCACTTCTAATTGAGGGTTGGTTTGCTTGAATAGCTGGTATTTCTTCCGTATAGTGTATGTTACAGTGTTGAATTTACTGAGTAGAGGGTCACTATCTATTGCATCTTATATGTCTTCTATGAGTATGCATTAGACTGAAGCTACTGATCTGGTATCAAGGTTTTATCTTCCGTGCATATTTTTTAAATTCAGTTATAAGTATTGCTATGACTATGGATCCCAGTACGTAGTTTCAATTCTAATACACGTGTATGAAATCTTTGACTTAAGTTTTGTTGGAAACAATGTACTTGTGGTGTTTAGAAATGATGGCAATGGTTTTTAATGTAATTGGTACTTTTTTATCATTACCTTTTTGCAAATGCGTTTTAGATCAGTTAATAATTATTGCATATTAAATTTAAGACCTTTTTGTGTAGGCAACTGGAGAATTGCTTCATTTTTTCCTTTGCATCATAATTTTCAAAATGATTGTGTGAACACCTACACTCAATTATGGATCAACTTTTGCACATACAAAAATATATATAACTTTCATCACTCAAGTTTTCTGCATGAATTAAGTTTGAATTTTTTTCTAAATCCCCCCACGGGTTCCATGTGGTTCTGCTTCCATTTCCATGGATAGCAAATCATCAAAAAGGCAAAACAATTTTCTGAATCAGTACACGTCTTTCTTATACACTGCATGTTTTCTAGAGAAACATCCTTGAAGTGGCTCCTTAGCTTCAAACTGATAGACCTGGTACTGGGTATGTATACCAAAAGGTGAATTTGCTAAATTTTTGCCTTCTTTCTCAATGTCATACTTAGCCAGCCATATGCCTAATCTCATGTGAGATGGATGGGAAGTTTCATCTAACACTTGACAATGCATGTAAACTGTGATGGATTTTGTTTTCCTCTACCATTTATCACTTTACTTTTCTTACAGATCAATTGTATTTTTGTTGCAATCTCACCAGGAACACCATCAAAAGATTATCTCTCGAGGCTTAGAAGAGGGAAATCAGAGACTCTACGTGTTCAATACATAAGCACAAAGGATATCAGGTCAAATTTTTAATTTAACACATCTAACTTGTGAAACAGCATGATCACCTTATAACACTGAAATGTAATTATGATGAGGTCTTTCTGTTTATGGTGTCCTGCAGATTGACAATAGGAACCTGGAATGTTGCGGGAAGGCTTCCAACCGATCACCTTGAGATTGATGAGTGGCTGCATACAAACAGACCTGCAGACATATATGTTATTGGGTTAGTTGGCTATTAGACCATACATATTACAAGTTAGAAATGCTCCATATCTCATATCTTGATCATATTTCATGTGCAATTCTGCTTGTATGCTAGCGTATTGCTTGATAGATGTGCTTTGTAATTTATGAGCTTTCATGGCTGCGAACTTTTCTATTTTACACATTTTTTTCATGTCTTTAGGCTCTTCTTGCTCATTCTTGAAAATCAGTATACAAGGGTTGAAAACCTCAAATGTGAACTCACAGTATTGAAGGGGAAGCAACATGCTTTTGTACCCAAGAAAATGCATTTCATTGCCCTTCAGTTTCGTATGTTCACAATAATTGTGTATAACATCTGCTTGATTATCTAACTTCTTTGTGTGATGGATGCTCCCTGGGGATTTTCTCCATAGCACTTTTCATCTTAATATAATTTCAGTAGCATTTAGAAAGTTCAGCTTTACAAATTAGATAGTAGCATGAGCTACATTTGATTTGGGTATTCCTATAGTTCCCTATTAATGTAGAATTATTTCTTTAAACAATGCAGTTAAATTTTGCATGCAATGGGATGATAGAATTTCAAAAACACTTATTTGGAAGTTGTGCTTTTTATCCTCCGTTTTTGTAGTTTTCAAGAGGTTGTCCCCTTGAATGCTGGGAATGTATTGGGTGCAGAGGATAGCAAGCCAATCCCAAAGTGGGAAGCAGTCATTCGTAACACCCTTAATAAAACTCAACAATCGGAATCAAAACGTAGAAGTTACAGTGCTCCTTCCTCACCAGGACGAAGGGCATCATCTGCCCCTGAGGTGCTTCAAGAAGAGATCAGCAGCCCTGAAGTTGATATGAGGGGAAATGATGAAGCTTCCCTTTCCAATGGTGCTGATGAAAATACAAACTTAAGTGAAGTAATTAAATTGAACAAGAAGTTCAAGCTGAAGAGGATGTATAGCCTTGATAATAGGACTAGTAAACTGGATTGGCCTGAGCATTCATTAGACAAGACACCTCAAGTTATCTCATCCAATACCACGTTGAGAAGAGTTCTTAGCAGTTCAGGGAGAATAGGCTTTGATTGGCTGGGGAAGCCATTGTTTCTGGCCCCTCAGAGTGTGATATCAGAAGGTGGGCTGAAAAGAATGTATAGGAGTTCAGGGAACCTTGGATTGATATGGCCGGAGGAGTCAGAGGTGCCTGATCTTGAACCAGATGCTGTTAGTTCTCCAGAGTTAATGGGTAACAAGGAAATGGACTCTTCTATAATCAATGCAGAGGGGCACATTGAAGAAGCAACTGTGATAGAGTATACAGAGCCAGAAGCATCTGTTGTGAAGTATATAGAGCCACGAGCACAATACGTGCGCATTATTGGGAAACAAATGGTGGGAATATATGTATCAGTATGGGTCCGTAGAAGATTGAGGAAGCACATAAATAACTTGAAAGTTTCTCCTGTGGGAGTTGGATTGATGGGTTACATGGGAAACAAGGTCTCTCTCTCTCTCTCTCACACACACACATACACACACACAAGTGTGTAGGGGTGTCCCACGCACGTGCGTGCATGTACACACACACATGCATACACATGTACACAAATGATAACTATGATAAACATATTTGCTTGTTTGTTATGTTGACGTGTCTAATGATGCACATGGTCAGTGATGCAGGGTTCTATTTCTATCAGCATGTCCATCTTCCAAACAAGGCTATGTTTCGTATGTTCTCATCTGACTTCGGGCCAAAAGCAAGGTGCTAAGCAGCGTCGTAATTCTGATGTGAATGAAATCATACGTCGCACCCGCTTCTCTTCGGTCTTCGATTCCGATCATCCTCAGACTATCCCATCACATGAGTGAGCATTTCCTTATCTTATGATTTTTGATGCATATATATATATATATATATATATATATAT